GTCCCGGCCCGGCCCTGCCCCACAGCCCGCCCCCTGCCCGCGATGGTCCCGCCCCCGCTGCTCCCCCCCGCCCCCCCCCCTTCTGGGGAGCTTGGTCCGGCCCCGCGCGCTTCCGCCTCACGCCGGGCCTGGTTCCGGTGTCCGCCCTGCGGCCCCTCCCGCCGCCGCCGCCGCTGCCGCGATGGTGCCGCTGTGGCGGTCCCGCTGCCTCGGCCGCGCGCTGGGCCGCTCGCTGCGCGCCCTCCGACAGGTACGGCCCGCGGGCACCGGCCGCGGGGAGCGGGGCAGCGAGGGAGGGCGGCGGCCGGGCGGGCGAGGTCGGCGGCGCCAAGGGCACCGGGACGCGTCCCCTACTGCCTGACGCTCGGCGCCGCCGCCCCGGTGACACGGCGGGGCCGGACACAGGAGGGGACGGCGAGGCCGCCCCAATCAGGGGCCGCGGTGAGCGCGGCGCTGCCCCTTCCCAGCGGCTGCCGCTGCCTCACGGCCCGGCCCGGCCCGGCGGGAAGGGCGGCGGCGGCGCAGCGGCACCGGGCAGAGCCGACCGGCGGGAAGGGCTTCCGAACGCCGCCGCTCTCGGGCTCCACCGTCCCCGCCTGTCAGGGGCTGTAGCATTTGGGGCCCTCGCTGCTGGCAGCCACCGGTCTGCGCTGGCAGAGACCCCCCCTCCCGAGCGGGTGCGCCCGGTGCAGGAACGGAAACAAACCGGTATGCGGATTGTTGTTTAAATTCTGTGCTCGGCTTTCAGGGCAGTCAGTGAACCGCTGCAAAGGGTGGAAACCTCTGCTGGCTGCAGCGTGGGCTGACAGAGCTCAATAGCTACTTAACCCTGGGGCTGCCCTTGGCCAGCTGGGTCCTGTCGTTCAGTGACTGCTGCACACATCTTCCATTTAAATAGCGAACATGCACAGCTTCATGAGCACACACATACACGTGCGTACCGACAGGATAAGAAAGGTCACTTCTCTTCCAGTGACCAGCTGCAGTCTTAGAGCATGAGACTTGATTTTAGACATCCTGTAAATGCAGGCGACCAAATGTTGACAGCCGATTGTAATGTAACGACACGTTTGTGTTTATAAATGCGTGTGTATCCATGTAAAACTTTGAACAACTTACAAGTGACTGTATGGTTACAGTTTGTTATACACATATGTAGAGACAAATTTATTATAATGCAGTTTAAGCAAGCTTATTAAAGTGGCGTTTTAGCAATTTTTACACTTTGTCAGCTCTCAGTGCT